GATGACTTCTTGACTGTGGCTCAGTCTCTGAAAAAGGAGTTTGACAACCCAGAGACAGCGGATCTCAAGTTCTGTGTTGATGGAAAATACATCTATGTCCACAAAGCAGTTCTCAAGATCAGGTTTGAATTCAACAGCCAAGCTGGTTTATCGGGTTGTAGGAGTTATAAACTGTTTAAAAAGAAGCACGCAGAAATGGTTCTTGTAACACCTGTGTCTGTATCGTTTGCTGTGCAGGTGTGAACATTTCAGATCAATGTTCCAGTCTCACTGGAACGAAGACATGAAGGAGGTGATTGAAATAGACCAGTTCTCGTACCCTGTGTACCGCTCATTTCTGGAGTTCCTCTACACAGACAGTGTGGAGTTGCCTCCCGAGGATGCTATTGGTCAGTCCCACATACACTTCACCACATGATCTCTGAGTGATTTCAGTGCTACCCATTGACCTAGTATCAGTGATATTGGTAACAACGATATCTATTTGTCATGAGTTTATTACTTTTTTGTATTTTTATTTATTTCTGTGAAAGGGACTACAACTAAAAGTTCTTGAATATAATCATAATTCCAGTGCTGTGTGGTTCTGTGTGCGCTCAGGGCTCCTGGATCTGGCCACCTCGTATTGTGAGAACCGCCTAAAACGTCTGTGTCAGCACATTATCAAGAGGGGTATCACCGTCGAAAATGCTTTTTCTCTGCTGTCTGCCGCTGTGCGCTATGATGCAGAGGTTAGTCTACCAACTATCAGCTGCATGTGTGATAATATGCAAATGTCCTTGAAAGCTCTTTTTACTTTGAAAAACACATGTAAAATTGATATTTTAGATTAAATCACAGAAGAAAATGCTGGCTCCCTTAGTTCTGTTTTGTGAAAATCTTTGTTTTCTAAATAAGCTTATTCACTCCTACTGAGAATGCAGTAAGAGGTTGATTTCACTCACAGGTCTGTACAGCCAGTATGATGCTACAGCCAGCAGCCTGTTTTGCATAAATAATGCAAACAAGAGGGAAACTATTAGCCTGTCTGTACAGAGGTAATAGAACGTATTTGTTAGCATAGGTTTCAATTTCAAAGCCAGACATGGCCGTCTGGAACTTTTAATAGGACCTACCAATAAAGTCTGACATTCATTTTTTTATGACTTGTGTGCTGGTAATTACATTTACATTAGCATTAATATGAAATCCTGAAAATGCTCCCACACTTCTTTAATCAGTTAGGCTACAAATTAGACAGAACATAAATGCTAAAGCATCTGGTTTTCCAACAGTAGCTGTCACGGTCACTGTGAGTCACACATATGTGAACCTGACCGACACCACAGGCAGGTGAACCTTATGTGCAGGAAAATGACTCAAATCAGGCAGTGATTCACATTAGGTAGTGATGTTAGCAAGCTTAAACAGTGGGGGGAAAAGTGGATGATAAATATAGACAATGAATGTATTTGGGCTGGTATTTCAAGCACTTTCTTAGGCTTACTGACCTCTCAAAAGAATTTTATACTAAAAGCCACATTATTAACCATTCACACACACATTATTATCAAGCTAATTCTTTATATACATTGCTTAGTTGCAATTTGCAGTATGTTGTCCAAGGAAAAGTCAGCGGGAATTGAACTACCCACTTTTTCTTCCCCCAATAATGTGTTTTGTTTTTTTTTGTTGTTGTTGTTGTTTAAAAAAAAAAAAATTCTTCAACACAAAAAAAACCAAATCCAAAAAAGAAAAGAAAATTGTCTCAAAGTTGTGTTTAATCCATTGATGTAACAAATTAATAATGCTGCATAGTTAAATGCAGTGTTAGTAATGATTAATGATGAATTATTCTTAAGTATAGTTAAACTATTCCAACCAAACGCTTTTATAAAGTTGAAAAACGAGTCTCCAGAGCCTGCTGTGCTTTAGTGCTCATCCCAAAAGTTTAATCTTTCTGTACTGCCAGTCACAGTGAAACTGCCTCTGCTTGTAGTGCATATGTTTGGTATAATTTTACTATAAACTTTTCATAGTTTATACTATTCTGCTATTCAACTGTCATTTTATTTTACCAATATAAATGTCATAAAGACTGTTCTTCCTTACCAACTTACAAAAAAAATATGTATCAAAATTTTCAGGCCTGTGTAACCTTATAACAATGCAGCCGAGTCTAACTTATTATTTTTATAAATCACTGTTCAAACTTTCAGGAGAAGTGTAGAGGAAAATAAAATAGCTGGAAGTTAGACAAAGTTAGGCCACTCAGTAATATGGCCCTCACCCTGAAAAGTACAGTGTAGTTACTGTTTCTTTGTTTCCAGTAAAAACCTAAATTGTTATCCCCTTAATCATTTGTCCCTTCTTTTAAGTATTTGTGGTTAAATATAAAATTCTAATTTCAAAAAAAATCCACTAAAATTTTGATTCATTTTTTTTCAGCAAGCGTTTGTTGAGCCTAGAGAGTCTGCAATATTAAAATGAAGAATTTTTAATTTCATACCTCAGTTCTTCATGTTCTTATGAAGGACTTCATAACTGCATGCATGAATGATTGAAACCTTTCATTCTTGAAGCCCTTTAAAGATTCAAAGCTTAAAAGTAGATTTTGCTCTTGCTGGGGTGAAAAACTTTTTGTTTGTTTTTTTTTGTTTTTTCCCCCAGAACAAATCTGTTTGAGGCAGCAGAGAAAAGATAAAGTAACTTTGTTAAAACATTCACCTTTAAAAAAAAAAACAACCAGTTAATGAAAACACCCGCCAGTCCTGATTGGTGGATGACCAGCTCCACCTGCTGATCCGCAGCTGCCTCTGTAGTCATTTTCACACATGCACTGCAGCCCTGATTTGATCTTTTATCCAACAGAAGTGAGAATGCATGACGCAGTCAGACTCAACATTAATCTGCTTTTAACCCACCAGCTCAGCAATACAAAGACTATTTGATGTCATATTGTACCGACATGTCAACAGGGCTACTAATAGTCTGATGCATCCACCACTACAGAGTGGGCATCATGTGTGCTGTCTCCTTCCTCCTGCACCCTTCATGCATCCACTCCGTCTCCCTCACCTAACAACACTAAGTTACATGTAGTGAATAAAACACATCTGATGCAGACTGTTGGCACCTGTGTGCTACATGAGAAAAAAGCAAACCATGTGTGAGCAACTGGGGCTTAGAACAGTGGAACTGGGAGGATCACCAGGATGCAGGAAGCTGGGTCAGCACTACGAGACACTCACTCTCTGTTGTTGGAGCGTTTGACCAAGTTGAAGAACAGTTTATTTATTTGTGCTCTTCTCTGTCACTCAGGACCTCGAAGAATTCTGCTTCAAATTCTGCGTAAATCACCTGACTGAGGTGACTCAGACTGCTGCTTTCTGGCAAATTGACGGTAATCTGCTCAAAGATTTCATTTGTCGAGCCAGTCGCTGCGGAGCCTTCAAAAATTGACCACGTCTCAAGGTACTGATTTGGGCTGATGCAAAACACACTGCTGGACTCCAGGAAGGATTTTGCCTAATACATCGTTACCATCAGATGGAGATTTGCACATAATTTCAGTAGAAATCTTTAGATTTACCATCACTGTCAGATTTGTGGTTCATCTTCTTCCAGATTACTGAAATGGCTAAAATCCAAGCTGTAAGGTTGCAGCATTGTTCCATAATGCTGTTACAGTAGCTGTTTCCAACAATGCCTGACTTTTAATTTACACATTGTGTAAAGTAGGAGCTCAGATTAATTGAGAGACATGACAGTGCTTGAACTTATTTGTTTTTAACTAAAACTATTCTTGCCAGTTGCCTGTGATGGCAATTCTGTTTAAGTGACCAAGTTACTTGTAGATTTTGCATGTGTACTTTCAGGATGAGTTTACTTCTCTTTACTATAAGAGGTCATCATAGTTTGGATGTCATTTAGATTGAATGGTTTTCAGTTTGAAGTATGAGAAGCGAAACTTTTTTTTAATCCTTACAGTATTTAAAGACAGGACACTGAGCCTTAAGCCTTAAAGGCTTGATTAGATCTGTGTAGGTCAACTTCAAGGCTTCCAGTTTTGCTTAGATTGTAAGATGGGAACTTGGGTTTAATCTTTACAATTTTTTGCATTTCATTCTTGATTATCAGATTCCATATGTTAGATTGAATTATTATAAGCAGCTAAAGCACCATAATTTATATTTACAGGCAGTTAAACATGCCTGGTTGTCAGTTCACACAAACCAGAAACATATGAATCCAGTTTAAGGCATGTGACCTTTCTTAGATTTCAGTCTGTATGTTGAAAAGAGAATTTTACAGTATAAGCATTTATAAAGTGGTTTTTGTAACTTCTGCACTACTGCTGTGAATATTTTTGAAAGATATTTGAAACTGAGGGTTATGAAGTGCCAGTTAAATTATCTAACCTATGCAAATAAATAAAAACACCTTGATCATCTTATCTGTAAACTTCACAATGAGACAAAATGGAGAAAGAAAACTGTTTTGTTTTTTTTGTTTTTTTAATCATAGTAAAGTCAGAAAAACAGCACATCAGGTTTTTCTTTGGGGTGCCAGTAAACCAGAACATGTTAACACTTTCTGCAAAAATGAAAAGTATAAAATGATGAGAGTATGGAAAAAAATATAAAACTGCTCAAGTAACTTAACTTCAAGTGATTACTCCAACAGATATCTGGCATACTGTCATTACTGTCTTAAAACATTTCACTTTTTAAAACTTCTCTTTGATAAATAACACAAGAAAAAACAGACCGTGAACATAAAGCCACATTATTAACCATTCACACACACATTAT